TTTTTCTCATTAAAATCTTCGCTATAAAAAAATTTATTTGTTGATGAATAGCCGAAAGAGCTTAATAAATTATTAAAGATAACTTGTTTTAGTCTAAAACCATAAGGAATCTGAAAGTCACAACATTTAATGTAAAAATTATATAAGCGACAATGTTTGCGACCAAGACTCTACACGGTACTAGTTGAGCGATTTTGTACCACTTGAACAAATCAATGGTAACCAATGGTAAGCTCGTGAAGCTTTTTGAGTAACAATGAACTAAGATGATAACAAATATGACACTTGGTGACTCATTTCAATGAGGGTATTGTGACCCGAGTAAGGCGAAAGTTATGTTTTGTGCAAAAAAAATGTTGTCTTTATCAATTCAATGGTTGGCTTCTGATTGGCTACAATCCTTTCTTTTCCGAATTCTGGTTACGAAATTTTCTACGATTGATATTATCTGGACCGAGTGTAATCGATCCAATATATGACAAACCAGGCTGTTTTCGGATTCTTCTTCCAACTTAATGATAAATACGACAATCTTATATCTCCAGGTCCAATAAAAAGAGCATAAAGTAAACTAAGAATACTCACAGTATGCTGCTTATTATGAAGTGATCGAAAATCCAAAATGGCTTCCTCTGCAAACAACGTGCGTGGATTAGCGTGAATTCTTCCAGTGTTGTCACTTGTCAAATATAATGGATTCCATGGTTACGGGAATTACCCAAAACAATTGGCTGAGAAGCGTTTTCCGAAAAATGCAAAATCTAGCCACCTCGATAGCTCTTCACGAGCTAAAAATCACTATGTTACTCGAGATTGAAATTAAAAATCAACGTACGAGAATTAAAAATCACCATGCAAGAATGAGAAAGTAAGGGATGAAAATGCAACGCATATTACAATTTCAAAGCATTTCAATCGTTATCACGTACAGGACAAAATTACTCTATGGTGATTGGCTAATAAAGGAGGGCCATTTCCGTAGCCCGCGGGGCCAAATTACTAGATTAGTTCAGTTGCCTAGCAACGCTTGCAAACTGTAAACTTTGTTTTAGCAAGCCAAATTGACTTCATGCTTTGCATCGGCAGAACAAAGAAACCATAGGAAAACTAAAAAGTTCAAGCGGAAATGAGAACACTAGAAAAAGCACAGGTGTCTGGTTTTCCGTAAATGGACCTCGGAAAGACCACTCAAGTAGTCCCAAATGTGTACAACTTCACCAGCTCCAAATGTAACTTTGAATGCCATCGCTGGAAATAATTCAGTACGATCATCTTGCTCTGGACTTAATCAGTCAAAACACCACTTTAATCGGCTTCTTCTTTTGGATTCTGATTCAAATTAAGAACTTTGTCGATAGGAATCATGTTTTATGCATGTTTTGTTTGGTTTTGACGTGAAATGTTACGTTTGCCATTCTTTCGGTTGAGACACTTTCTTTGAATATTTAGCATTTCAGCATTCAGCGGGATCCAAGGGAAACTTGCCAAATGATTATTGTTTAAGCTCAGTGATCGGATATATTCTTTTGTACAGGAGAAACCTTGAATTATAAAATTATAAAATTCAGATAGTACGCGTGCTGTGATTGGCCGAGAGCCGTGTTTGCATTTCCCTGTGCAAACACGGTTGTGACGCGTGTCGACACCGGCGGGAAAATTTGAGTTTTGTTTGGAAGTCGTACTTGTACACAAATAGTCATAACTCCAGCAAAATTAATAGAGTATATGGCTAGTTTTCCAAGCTCAAGCTTAGACTTTGACTTTCCTGAGGAAGCATCTGAAATAGTAGAACCACCAGAAGAGCCTTCAACAAAAAAGAAAAAATCCAGATTTGCCGGCCTGAACTCGCAGAATTTCGACGAACTCTTTCGACAACACCGACGGAAATAAAGCTTGAATTTAGCGAGTTCTAGCTCTCAAAATAGTGTTTTCTTTTCGGTCTAGAATGACTAAAGCCATTGGTTAAGCTTTGGAATTATTATTTTATCAAGATTTGCTTGTAAAATCCTCTTTCTCAAGGGAGAAAGTCGCTAAAATTTGGCTTCTTCTCGCTTTGAAATAAGAAATTTTCAACTTGAATTTCATGCTTGGAGGCGTGTATCAAACTCGCAATTTGATTGATTAAGGGTCTTCTTTCGCGCAATCGGATTGGTTATTGCAAATGCACAAGTACGTAAGGAGAATTTGTATTTAAAACTTTGAGCTAAATTCTTCTGTTTTATTTGATCGTGTTTCGTTATTTTTGTTTTTGAAGAAAATAATTTTATAAAACAAATGAAATACATTTACTGTGTTTGCACACGCTAATGCAAACCGAGATGTGGTTGGGAGAATTCGAGAGCAGATCATTTTATTTGTTAAGTGTTATTACCACCCAAAGTTTGATAAAAGAGAGCACATATAATGAAGAAATACGATAGTGAATTCTGAATAACATTCTTTTCGTGAACCATAACTACATTTGATTTGATAAGTTCAGGATAAATGACAGCTTACGGACATTATAATGGTTTCTTAAATACGGATTTTTTTCGTTTGATTTTGCCCAGTATATGATTAACGGGTAATCGTATGCTGCCGAGTAAAATTAAAGATTATAATTTCATCTATGTTTTCAAAGTTTTGAAAAGCAAAGCTTCGCGACTGCTATAAACTAATTGCGATTTTGAGAGAGCAATACCACGAAATATTGACGGCTAGTTGGGAGAAAGTATATTCCTTATTGGGCGGAGGAGCTAAGCTATTCTATCGCGATTT